GTAGTAGTAGTAGTAGTAGTAGTAGTAGTAGTAGTAGTAGTAGTAGTAGTAGTAGTAGTAGTAGTAGTAGTAGTAGTAGTAGTAGTAGTAGTAGTAGTAGTAGTAGTAGTAGCGTAGAAGTAGTAGTAGTAGTAGTAGTAGTCGTAGTAGTAGTAGTAGTAGTAGTAGTAGTCGTAGTAGTAGTAGTAGTAGTAGTAGTAGTAGTAGTAGTAGTAGTCGTAGTAGTAGTAGAAGTAGTAGTAGTAGTAGTAGTAGTAGTAGTAGGAGGAGGAGGAGGAGGAGTACTAGTAGTAGAGCAAAGCTATGCTGTGCTATGCTATGCGATGCTGCGCTATGCTATGCTATGATATGCTATGATATGCGATGCGATGCTGCGCTGTGCTATGCTAAGCTAAGCTATGATATGCTGCGCTATGCTATGCTATGCTATGCTATGCTATGCTATGCTATGCTGCGCTATGCTATGCTATGCTGCGCTATGCTATGCTATGCTATGCTATGCTAATGCTGCGCTGCGTTAAGCTAAGCTGAGCTAAGACGAGATGTATGACCTTGGGGGGGCAACCATATATATATATATACACAAGACTGCAGTGGCGCTTCGCGCCATGCACCTTGGTCCTTGAAGTTTGGTATGCAGACGGACTAGCAGGAAGGTCAAGCCGACAATTTACCGATAATTCCGTTTCCGGCATCGCCGCTATAATAATGTTTTTCGTTATCCTTCCTCCATGCTTCTTTTTCCTCAGTTTCGCCATGCCTTGCGCAGTCTCCCCATCCTCCTCAGCTCTTTTTGCGGAGGCTCCTCCTTGGAAAGCCTTTGGGGGCCTCACAAAAGTTGTTTCAGGCTTTCTTAAGGCCTTCTGGGGGCCTCTGGGGGCTGCCTCGGGCCACCCTGCCTCCAACCGCGGTCTCCCTGAACGACCGGGTCACGATTTGGAATGTTTCGGAGGGCGTCTTGGGGCCATCTTGGGCCGCCATGGGGCTCTCTGACGGCCATCTTGGACCCCTGTTGCTTGCGGCTCTCTTGGACTGCCTAGAAGCCCTTCGGATGGTTGTGGGGCGATTTGGGAGCCTCCCAGGCGGCTTCGGAAGCCCAGAAGACCGCCGTCTTGGAGCGTCGGGAAGCCGAAAAGAGGAGAACCCCCAAATAAACCAAAAACCAACAAAATCCATGATTTTTGCCTCTTGGGGCCCTCTTGGGAGTGCTCTTGGAGGCCTCTCGGGACGTTTCGGGACGATCTTTGGGGGTATGACGGCTTCTTGGGGGTCGTCGTCGACAATATTGGGGCTCTCTGGGGTGGTTTTGGGAGCGCGCCACGTCCTGCGAGGCCCGGGGGGCCGCTTCGAGGCCCGTCCGGAGGGTCTTTAAGCCCCAGGTCCCAGGAGTCTGGTTTTTTTTTTGGGGGGGGGGGGACGGGTTTTCCCCCTGCCCGGGCAGGCGCGGTTACGCATGCGATTCCCGCCACTGGGGCCTTCGGCGGGGCTCCCTATGGGGCCAGGAAGCGTTCGAGGGGTGTGCAAAATGGGCACGGTTACGCATGCGACCCCTTCCTATGGGGCCTGAGGCGGGACTCCCTATGGGGCCATGTGTGAGGGATGTGCCGACATGGGCGTGGTCACGCATGCGATTTGAAAGGCCCCCGCGCAAGCCCCGGTGATTTCTGCCATTGGGGCCTCAGGTGGAGCTCCCTATGGGGCCACGAAGCGTGTGAATGGTGTGCCGACATGGATTGGATAAGGCATGCGAACGCAGCCACTGGGGCCTGAGACGGAGCTCCTTTTAAGGGTCACGATACGTGTGAGGGGTGTGCCGACATGGGCACGGTCACACATGTCAGCCATAGTCTCCGTGGTGACGGAGACTATGGTTGACATGGTGGTGAAGCTCGTTGTAGTGATGCTACTCATTGTGGTGCTGCTCGTCGCCGTAGTGGTGGAGATGGTGGGCGCCGTAGGAGCCGGACACCAGACGAACTTCGAGAAGAGGTCGCACCAGGCCTCGCTGATCGGGTAGCACACGTTGTTCGTGGCCAGGCACCCGTCGGAGCACGGCCCCTGAAAGGCCCCCGCGCAAGCCTCGGTCCGGCTGGCTGCCCGAGCCGCGGCAGGCTGCCTCGCCCAGCTCGCCGTCGCCGCCGCCGCCGCCGGCGACGGCGGCGGCGCCGGGACGAGCTCGGGCCGCACGGAGCTGCCCGCTGCCCGGCCCGACGGCCGCCGCCACGGCGCCGCCGCCGGCGGCGGCGCCGGGGCCGAGGCCGGAGCGCCGGCCGGAGCCCCGCGGGACGGCGTGCCCAGCAGGGCCAGCGCCAGCCACGCCGCCGGGGAGGCCGCGCGGAGCGCCGCCGCTGAGTCGTGGGAGAGGGGGAGCGCCGCCGCCGCCGCCGGGCCTCCCGCCTCGGCGGGCCGCGGGCCGAGGCCCACGGCGAGGCTCCGGTCGGGCAGGCCCCCCTATAATCAGGGGCGGGCGTCGGCACAGAACTATTTTGCAGGCACGGCCGAAGAGATCTCGTCACCCAGACCCCCGACGTCGTGATTTTTTTTCATGACGTCGACCCCCAGAGGTCTGGACCCTTTCCCCGGGACCGGTTTTTCGTCCTGAGTCGTTTTTTGACGCTCCCGAGGGCCGGTAGGGGCCCCCAAAGGCCAAAAATAATGAAAAACCTCCCGTCGTGAATTTTTCATAACTCGAGGGGGTCTGGGTTTGTGGACCCTTCTCTCGGGTCTGCCTCCGGGGGAGGGGCGTGCCCGACTCCACTCGGGGCGAAGCTCGGCGGTGGCGCTCGCTTCCTCTCTCCCGTCGGCCGGCTCCGGCAGGCATTTTTGGCGCCTCGGCACGACGACCTCTCTGGACGGGCGGGCGAGGGAAAAAAACACAATCTGTCGGAAAACACACACACACACACAAGTCTGTGGGAAAAACACACAGTGTGTTTTTTTTGTTCTCACAATGTTTTTTCCCCTACAGTGCGTTTTTGTTCCCACTGTGTGTTTTTCCTCACAGACTGTGTGCGTGTGATTTTTCCCACGTGTGTTTTTTTTTGCGCGCGCGACGCACGGGCTTCGGACGTCTGCAGCGGCGGCGCAGTTCCGCTGGCGCTGGGCCCCCTCGTGTCGTGTGATGTCGTGCGCTCGCCTCGGGCTCACCACGGCAGCCCGGGGTGAGATCTCGACCGAGCTGTCACGCCTGCCCGTGCGCGGACGGTGCGAGGAACAGGCCGTAGAGAGCAGTGGTGAGAGAGAGGGAGAGAGAGAGAGAGAGACAGAGAGAGACAGAGAGAGAGAGAGGCAGAGAGAGACAGAGAGAGAGCGAGAGGGAGGGGCGGAGGCGGAAAGACGCGGACGGCCCCCCGAGTGTACACAGAGCTGCCAGATCCAAACGTGGGTGCCGGATGCTCCTGTGACGTGCTGATGCGCGCTTCGTCTTGACAGGGTCTACTGCGACGCATCCTGCCTGCCAAGGGCAATCCTTTACACCACCCCTGCTGCATGGGAAGACACGCTGCGCAGCCGAAGCCGCCTCAGTGCTCCACGCGCTGCGGCCGACGTAACACAGCGCCCACGCAAACACGCGCTGCGAGGCTTGGGCCGCCCTGGGGGGGCGTCGCGGGCGCCGCCCAGGGGTGCGGAGGGGGTCCAGCGCCAGCGCGGACGTCCAAAGCTCATGTTCGCGTGCTTGTCTGGCCACGGCCTGGCAGGGTCTGTTCTGACGCCCGCGGACTTCCTGCGAGCTGCCCGTATCGTCTGGCGGCGCCGTGGGCAGAAAGCGCCACGCCCGGAACAAATACGATCAGAATCCTCGAGCACGTCTCCCTGCGATTTTTCACGGGCCGGACCGAGGCGCGAGGGTCCGTGGGCCCAAGATGCGGCGCAGATGCCAGCCGTGACCCCTCAAGACGCCCCGATCCGAGGGTCCGCCAGCCTCCCCAGACGGCCAGCAGCTCAACCGTCTCGAGACGAGGGCCCCCCCGAACTCTCCCGCGTTCCCAGAGCATGTTTTTTTTCAGCGCTGCCGTTCTTCGACGGCCCTGGTGCCCCAAAAAGGCTCTCCGCTTGGAGCACTGCGGGAGCTGTGTTGGGGAGACGGGGTTGCAAGGGTACGCTAAGGTGGGTCATACCTGGCCCAGCCTAGCATAGAAGTGGGCTGCAGGTGCCCTAAGCGGCCAGGAGCGTTAGAGAAGTCCACCAAGTGGACGGAGCCCACTTGCCCCAGAATCGTTTTTTTCCCCTGAGCCACTTGGGCCTTTCCCCGGGACTGGTTTTTAGTCCTAAGTCTTTTGTTTCACGGTCCCGAGGCCTGGCGAGGGCCCCCGAAGGCCGAAAATAGCCAAACACCTCCCGTCCTGATATTGTACGACGCGATCATGTCTGGGCTATCACCTTCCCCCCAAGGGTCCACGGGCTATCATCGGCACCTGTGTCCCGTCTGTGAGCGAGGCTCGACCAGGTATCACCCACATTGGCATCCGCTCAGAGCCCCGCCATCCCTCTGTGGGGGAACGAGCGCAACAGCTGTCATCGCCACGCTGCCGTGGGGAACCCGCCAGCGTGCTCCTGCCAGAAGCTCGCCCCCCCTGCCTGCTCGCGATAACCAATGCCGGGCCTTTTCAGACGCCCAGCCGGCCACGGCGACGCATCGGCGACGTCGGCGATGCATCGGCGACGTAGGGCGGCTGAGAGGAGGAAGAGGACGAGGAGGAGGGGGAGGAGAGAGGAGGACGAGGAGGAGGGGGAGGAAAGAGGAGGAGGAGGAGGAGGAGGAGGAGGAGGAGGAGGAGGAGGAGGAGGAGGAGGAGGAGGAGGAGGAGGAGGAGAGGAGGAGGAGAGGAGGAGGAGGAGGAGGAGGAGGGGGGCTCCACATCGAGCCGCATCGTCGATGCGTCGGCAGGGCGGTGCGGTCCTCCGACCCCCTCTGCGCAGACCCCGCCTCGAGAGGCCTGGACGGCGAGGGCCTCCGTGCCTGCCCCGGAGCCGGCCCGACGTGCTCCGCCGCGGGCCATCGCTCCGAACCCCAGGCCGTCGCTCATGGGCGGCTTCTGCTGGCAGCGCACGAGGGGGTGCGCAGGGGCGAGGCGTGACCGGTGGGGGTGCTGCGTTCGCGGTGTGGGGGGGGGCCGTTTTCGGCTTCGGGGGCCCCTCGTCGGGCCCGGGGGCCGTCGAGAGGAGACCTGTGGCGAAAAGCTGGTCCCGGGGAGGTGGTCCAGCGGGCCTGGAGGGTGCATCGGGCGCCGCGGCCATCTCAGAGCGTTCCAGAACTCCCTGAAAGCGCTGAACGCTCGAGGGGGAGGGGGAGGAGGGGGAGGGGGAGGAGGGGGAGGGGGAGAGGAAGGAGGCAGGAGGAGGGGGAGAGGAGGGGGAGAAGGAGGGGGAGAAGGCGGGGGAGGGGGAGAAGGAGGGGAGGAGAGGAGGAGGAGGAGGAGGAGAGGAGGAGGAGGAGGAGGAGGAGGAGGAGGAGGAGGAGGAGGAGGAGGAGGAGGAGGAGGAGGAGGAGGAGGAGGAGGAGAGGATAGGAGGAGGCGGAGGAGAGGAGGAGGAGGAGGAGGAGGAGGCGGAGAGAGGAGGAGGAGGAGGAGAGGAGAGGAGGAGGAGGAGGAGGAGGAGGAGGAAGGGAGGAGGAGGAGGAGGAGGAGGGGGAGGAGGAAGAGAAGGAGGATGAGGATGAGGATGAGGAGAAAGAGGAGGAAGAGGAGGGGGGGGAGAAGAGGAGGAAGAGGGGGGGGAGGCGGAGAAGGAGGGGGAGAAGGAGGGGGATCGAAGTAAAATCAAGACGTCGGAGGTCTGCGTGCTGCTCCCGGAGGTGCTCGCCTCCACGGCGGAGCGCGGTTCGGAGATCTGCCAAGGGGGCCCCCCTGGAGGGGGACGGGGACCCCGTGAATGCCCGATTCGGGATGGGGACGGCGGAGGGGGCGAGGAGGAGGAGGAGGAGGAGGAGGAGGAGAAGGATGGAGGATGGAGGATGGAGGATGGAGGATGGAGGAGAAGGAAGAAAAGGAGGAGGAGGAGGAGGAAGCGGACGTGGAGGAAGAGGAGGATAAGGAGGATAAGGAGGAGGAGGAGGAGGAGGAGGAGGAGGAGGCGGAAAAGGAGCAGGAAGAGTAGGAGGAGGAGGTGGAGGACGAGGGAGGACGGAGGGAGGGAGGCAGAGGAGGAGGATGAGCAGGAGTTGGCCTTCTGAGAAGGCAGGGGGGCTTCGCAGACTGGCTCGGGGGCTTCTAATTGAGCTCCTCAGATGGCCGGAAGGCCTCTAAGCAGCCCCCTGAGGACAGTTGCGCAGTCCCCTGGCGAGAACCTCTAAGGGTCTCGAATGAACCACCTCTTCATGATGGGAACTGCAGTCGAGGCGTTGACCTAAGGAACCCTATATAAGGAAGGAGGCCCCTTTTTTCCATAAGTTGAACTTCGACTTCCCATCGAAAACTGAAGGGAAACCTCAGGGGAGGTGTGGAACAATTAAGGAACATCGAGCCCCCCCCCAACGAAAAGGGTTCCTTCTTCAGGGCCCCGACTGTAACTCTCTTTTTTTCCTGCGGGGGCTGACTGACGGATTGGGACCGAAAAAGCGGTACCGGGAAAAGGATGCCCCTCTCCCGCGGCGGCCACTGCCGAGGCCCCCGCCGTCCTCGGGGGGTTCGAGGAATCCTCAAATCACCAGGAGCCCCTAGGGATTGTAAGAATCTTTAGGGTTCCCAGGAATCCGAAGGGATCCGAGGGCTCCTCTAGGCATTCCCAGGATGCTCTTACGATTCACCACGCCGAACAAGCTGACCACCACTATGGCGAGCTTTTGCTGCGCACGATGATGCGTGCGACCCCCATCTGAAGACAGCGACGATCGCGACAACGACGGCGACGACGACGGCGACGAAGACGACGGGCCGGCTCGATCTGAGATGTAGCGAATGATTGTGCAGTAGTTGCACAAGCAAGATTAACATGCTTCTGCCGTGCAGTGTAGAGCAGAGGGCAACATCCGCCAGGAGAGATCACCACCCAAAAAAAAACCAAAAGGCGAACAACAGTCGGAAACCAAAATCCGTTCAAGCTGACCACAACTATGGCGAGCTCTTACTGCGCACGATTATTTGCGCGACTCCCGTCTGAAGACAACGACAATCGCGACGACGACGGCGACAACGACGGCGATGAAGACGACGCGCGAACTCGATTTGAGATGT